CAAAGAGATTTTGCAGCAACATGGTATCGATGATATATACCATGTGGGTTTTCCATCAGAAAGTGAAGCTCTAAAGATCTTTTGTCTATCTGCTTTTAGACAAACCTTTCCACCCAATGGGTTTATGGATCTTGTAGACGTAATTACAAGGATTTGTGGTAATCTTCCATTGGCTCTACGTGTTGTAGGGTCATCATTGCGGCGAAAGAACCATGCTGACTGGATAGAAGAACTACCAAGATTGCAAACTTGTCTTGATGGAAGAATTGAGAGTGTATTGAAAGTGGGCTATGAAAGTTTACATGAGAACGACCAACCTCTATTTCTCTACATTGCAGTCTTCTTCAATTATGAACATGTTGATCATGTGACATCCATGCTGGCAAAAACTAACTTGAATGTTAGACTTGGGTTAAAAAACTTAGCCAATAGACATCTCATACATATAGGTTATGGCGTTAATAGTAAAGTGGTAATGCACCGTTTGCTACAAGTAATGGCTAGACAAGTCATATCCAAACAAGAGCCTTGGAAACGCCAGATTCTTGTAGACACCCAACAGATTTCTTATGTTTTGGAAAATGCAGAAGTAAGCTTTCTGTTTGAGGGGTTTTGCGTTATCATGTTTATTCACTACTGTTTAAGCAGTTCTTGCCACTAACAAGTTTTGCCTTGGAATATTTTTTGTTAGGGTAATGGATCAATTGTAGGTATATCATTTGACGTAGCAAAGATCAACAAATTAACAATAAACGCACGACAAGCACGACGAGCGATTTTTCAACAAGTTTTTGTAGGCGGGCTGGCTCTGTTACCAGGAAGAAAAGTACCGGCACTGTTTGATCATCGAGCCAGAGGAAGTTCATTAACAATTCCTCATTCTCCTTCCTATAAGGTTTGCGTTGTGATTTCTACAGAATTCGATCATCAAGCCAGATATTCTACTATACTTTCAAGACTATTGTGTCGTTACATAGTCATCAGCAACTCAGTAAACTCCACTGACATCGCGTTTGTCCTATCGGATGTCTATAAATATCGAATGGAACATCTATTTATATTTCATTTAGTGAATCCGATGCCATTTTTTTACCCCTCTAGCAGAGAGGTAGTGCTCGAATTCAGCAGCCTATACAAAGATTTCGACATTATTGAATGTGGTGTCCAGATCTTGACGGATGAAACAGACGGAAACAACAATGGGGGATCTGGAGATGAAGATGATCTATGGTATATACATGAATTTAGGAAGAGGACGATGATAAGTGCTACTACTAATCTAAAGAAATGGATTCTCTGTCTTTTTCTTTTTTTCTTTTTTTCTTTTGCTTTTGTGAAATTCTCCATCTACTTTGATATTTTCTAACATATGCAGGTAATTCCTTGCTATAATATGTTAGTATTAAGTAGCTCAGTAAAAGTTCTTCACTTCTTATGAGATGAACAAAACTTGTATTATGTTATTTTGGATTATATTTGTAATAGGGTTGGAGGCATAAACGTTATTTCAGCGTCCAATAATGTCGATACCAAGTTATTTTGCGATGAATTCATATTGACAACAATGTCGATACCAACTTCATCAAAGTGGAAACACTCAACTGGTGATTTTGAACGACTTAAGATATGTGTACTTCAAAAACACTAAAAAAATAATTCTATACAATAGAATCAAATTCTAAGTTCATTATAAAGTTTTTGATTCGGAAGAAAATATTATGTTAATTAGGATATTCGTATTGAACATACCATAAATAAAAGTTATTAAAGAAATAGTGCTGATGAATGTATTTATATATAAATATCATATTATTATGATGAGAAACTTTGAACATATTATCTAAGTAATTGAGTTTGAATAATTCTCCGCACAACAATTTCGAGATCCTATACTTGTTGTATATAAGAAGTCCTCTCTATGGTAACTTATGTTTTTTAACCCTGTTTTTCCTCTGTTTTCTTCCTGTGGTCGTCTGATTTTTCCCTTCAGTAGTAGTATTTTGCTCTTGATATATTATGAGAAGTGAAACGAAAGGGCAAAGAATTCATATTGATGTTAGTCTCAAGATAACAGCAAAAAGAAGAGGGAATATTTTTTGGTGTATTCAAAGTTTTACTTTAATATTCCCAGTGGGCAGTGGGGACTCGAGAGCATGGTCCTCTACTAGCCATAGATTAAAGTCTTGAAAGCGTTTCATCTTCCTTTCGTAACCGATAATATAGTTATTGTGGACTATGACATGCTTCCAAATCGGTAAGAAAAATCGCTGGTCCGATTTTTTGTCCGCCTAGCCCAATTTTTTTTTTTTAATCTAAAATTCAAAACGTCCTACTTATATTCGTAATTTGTATAAAAATTATAAATTTGAGATTAAAATCTTGTTTTCATATGTTTAATGCAATTTTAAAATCAATATTATATAAATTTCTTAATTATAATGGATTAATATGTTTTTAAAACATTAAATAGCCCTAAAACTAATCCCCGATTAATCCCCGTATAATCTCCGATTTTCTTACTAGGCGCTAGGTGCACCCTCACCGTCCGACTAGCGCCTAGCGAATTTTTGAACACGGGTTCAAACCAATCAGAATACATATAGTTGAAAAATATGATTAAACAAAAGAAAACATAAATTAAGGGTTAAACTTTTGGTCCTAACAACGCCTCCCATATATTTTGCTTTTCTCTAATCTTATGTATATTTTTATAATCACATAATTCATTTTAATATCTTTTTAGTTGATCTCTTCCCTTTACGTGTGAAGAACAGCAAGTCTCGCTCGCATTAGTTTCTGCGTCAAAGAGTAGTTTCTCCCCTCTCCGACCATCATCATGTGGTGCCAGAGAACATTTATGTGGACACAACCACCATATAATGAATGATATTCGTTTTCACACTGTTAAAAGACAAAAAAAAAAAAAAAAAAAAGACTCGTACAGCGAAAAAAGGCGAAGAAACTTCATCAAAGTGGTTGATTCTACTCAAGATCCTCTCTCATGGCTTCTTCTTCTTCTTCATCTCGTACCTGGAGATACCGCGTCTTCACGAGCTTCCATGGACCAGACGTCCGCAAAACATTTCTCAGCCATTTACGCAAGCAGTTTATCTACAATGGAATTACGATGTTCGATGACCAAGGGATCGAGAGAAGCCAAATCATTGCCCCAGCTCTCACACAAGGAATTAGAGAATCGAGGATTGCGATCGTCGTGCTCTCGAAGAACTATGCTTCATCAAGCTGGTGTTTAGATGAGCTATTGGAGATTTTGGATTGCAAAGAAGAATTAGGGCAGATAGTAATGACTGTCTTCTACGGAGTAGATCCTTCTGATGTGCGAAAACAAACCGGAGATTTTGGGATTGCTTTCAATGAAACTTGTGCTCGTAAAACAGATGAGGATCGGAGAAAATGGAGCCAAGCTTTGACCTTTGTGGGCAACATAGCCGGAGAACACTTCCAAAACTGGTTTGTTTTTTTATACTTTTATGTTCTGATATAGATTTTGCTATGGTATGTTAAGGGCTATGATGAATTGGAGTTTGATTATAGTATCAAATCTTGAAGTATATTTGATCAATTTTTGCTATTATGTTCATGGTGTTTAGTCTTAATAAGATATGAAGATGTATGTTACTACTTATGTTTTGGAGTGTGTTTATTTTGGTCGAGTCTGTGCTCTGTTGAGAACATAAGAGATTCTCATGACTAGATTTTTTCTTTCTTTCTTTTGGTAGGGACAATGAAGCAAAAATGATAGAGAAGATTGCAGCTGATGTTTCAGATAAACTCAATGTTACACCATCTAGGGATTTTGATGGCATGGTTGGACTTGAAGCTCATTTGAGAAAAATGGAGTCTTTGCTTGATTTAGATTATGATGGAGCTAAGATTGTTGGAATCTCTGGTCCTGCAGGCATTGGTAAGAGTACCATTGCTAGATCTTTACATAGTGTACTATCTAACAGGTTTCAGCATAATTGTTTTATGGACAATCTTCATGAAAGTTATAAGATTGGTCTTGTTGAGTATGGCTTGAAGTTGCGCTTACAAGAACAACTTCTTTCAAAGATTTTGAACATAGATGGCATTAGGATAGGCCATTCAGGTGTGATACAAGAAAGGCTACACGACCAAAGAGTTCTTATCATTCACTACAGGAAAAACGCGTATTAATAGCATTTGAAGATAGCGTTTTCTATGGTAATGCTATTGTTATTGTTTGTCCTGTTAATTTATAGCGTTTCTTGAAAACAAACGCTATGTTTTGTTACGCGGCAAAAAGTAATTCTGATCCCGCCTAATTATCTGTGTATTCAATAGCATATCCATTATTTCAACGCTATAACATTGTCAACCGCGAAATAAAAATTTTGTTGACCGCGAAATAAATTGTTGACCGCCAAAGAAAAGGAAAATTTGGGTAAAAAATAAACCCAATCGATTAAAAATTAGGGTTGTGTCTCAAGAAAATACCCCTTTCTCTCTCTCGTTTTCCTCTTGTTTCTCAATCGACATTTCACTTTGATCTCTTGCTCCTAATTTGTATTCTCTGTTTCGATCTAAAAATTTTCAACACAGTGTCGTTCCTTTCTTTGTATCAATCTCTCTTTCAATCTCTCTTTGTCTCGATCTCTCTATCAATCCCTCTTTGTCTCGATCTCTCTATCAATCTCTCTTTGTCTCGATCTCTCTATCAATCTCTCTTTGTCTGGATCTCTCTTTGTCTGGATCTCTCTATCAATCTCTGTCTTCGTCATCTGGGTCGGTGGAAATCGAATTTGTTTGGTCGATTTTGGCATTGAAGGTAAAATAATGGTTGGGTTTTCAGATTTAAACTATATGTTTGGTCGAATTGGTGAAATTTGGGAATTTGAGATTTAAACTCAAAGTTTAGTTAGTCGATTTTCAATTTGTTAATTTTATTTAATTGTTTTGATTTTGATAATCGATTTCTAATCTGTCTGTATATATTTGACTGTTTTTGCAGTTCAGTTTCGAACCAGAAGAAGTAACAGGTATGTGTGATTTTGTTTCTAAGATTAATCTGAGTTGTGTTTTTTTCTAAGGTAGTGATTATGTCAATTTCTTTTTGCAGACAGTCTTCAAAGTTGCAAGGTTCTGTTGTTGGCGATTGTTTTTACTCCGTAAGCTGTTATTTTCTAACTCATTTGTTTCACTGCAAGTATGTGTTGATTTGATTAAAAGTTAGTTGAGTGTCTTATACTTTGAATTTATCATCATAAATTGTAAAATCGGTGGTGGAGCTGTGGTCCTATTGTTGTGTTATGGACAAGGCATGGGTGTGGCTTCCAAGGTATGAGTTTCTTTGAGATATGAACTTTTGTATTTTCATTCATTGATTGATAACAAATACTTTTGTGGTCTGATTATAATGATATGAACTCTGTATGGTCTGATTAAACATATAGGGCTAGCCGAGAGTATGTGGAAGGAGCAACAAATTTTGTGACTGCATCATCAAGGAGGTTGGGGAATCCATCTGAAATTTTCTGTCCCTGCATCGATTGCCGCAATGTTTGCCATCAACTTGTAGACACAGTAGTGGACCATCTTGTGATCAAGGGTATGGATAAGAAATACATGAGGCTATCGTGTTGGAGTATGCATGGTGAAAGAAAGTCTGATATTTCTGATAGTGTTCCCACATCAGAAACTGAGGCTTATGATTTGCTTAGGACGGCTTACTTTACTGGTGAAGGCAGTCCACAGCCATCAAACAACATTGGAGGAGAAACCGAGGAGAGTGAAACTACAGAAGACTCTGAGTTTAGGAAGAAGTTGAGAGATGCTGAAACTCCATTGTACTCGACGTGCTCTAATTACACCAAAGTTTCTGCAATAATGGGCCTTTACCGCATCAAAGTGAAGAGTGGAATGTCAGAGAACTACTTTGATCAGCTATTGACGATAGTCCATGACATGCTTCCTAAAGACAATGTGCTGCCAAAGTCTACAGATGCAATGAAGAAGTTCTTGAAGATTTTTGGGTTTGGATATGATGTCATTCATGCATGCAAGAATGATTGTATCCTCTATCGGAAACAGTTTGATAAGATGGAAAGCTGTCCTAGATGTAGTGCTTCTAGATGGGAAATGGATAAGCATAGTGGTGAGGAAAAGAAGGGGATTCCAGCAAAGGTCCTTAGATATTTTCCAATCAAGGACAGATTTAGGAGGATGTTTAGATCAAAAAGGATTGCTGAGGAGTTGCGTTGGCATTCAAGTAATGCAAGTGAAGATGGTACAATGAGACACCCTGTTGACTCTATATCTTGGGCTCAGGTGAATGAGAAATGGCCAGAGTTTGCTCTTGATCCAAGAAATCTTCGTCTCGGTCTTTCTACAGATGGGATGAACCCTTTCTCCATTCAGAACACCAAGTATAGTACTTGGCCAGTATTGTTAGTGAACTACAATATGGCTCCAACTCTGTGTATGAAGGCTGAGAATATAATGTTGACTTTGTTGATTCCTGGTCCAACAGCTCCCAGCAACAATATTGATGTCTATCTTGCACCATTGGTTGATGATTTAAAGGATTTGTGGAATGAGGGTATTGAGGTCTACGATGCATTTTTGAAAGAGAATTTCACACTTAAAGCTATGTTGTTGTGGAGTATCAGTGACTATCCTGCGTTAGGGACCTTGTCTGGCTGTAAAGTGAAAGGGAAACAAGCGTGTAACGTATGTGGAAAGGATACACCTTGTAGGTGGTTGAAGAATTGTCGAAAGTATGTGTATATGGGTAACAGAAAGCGACTCAGACCTGGACATCCTTATAGACGCAGAAAAGCATGGTTTGATAACACTATCGAGGAAGGGACTGCAAAAAGGATTCAGTCTGGTACTGAAATATTTGACATACTAAAAGACTTCAGGAATGATTTTGGAAGAGCTTTAGATAAGGAAGCTAAAAGAAAAAGATCAGATTTGTTAGAAGATGAGGCGGTTCCAGAGGAAGAGTGTGATGAAAGCACTGATCTGTGGCGGTGGAAGAAGCGGTCAATATTGTTTGAGTTAGCTTACTGGAAGGTAATAGATTTTGTTGTTTTTAAATTTAACTTAAGTAAATTGACATGAGAATATGATAGTAAAGCTGACTCTTTAATTATCTTTGTCTTAGGATTTGCCGGTGCGTCACAATATTGATGTGATGCATGTGGAGAAGAACTTGTCTGATGGTTTGTTGTCTACACTGATGCAAAGTGCTAAGTCGAAAGATGGCTTGAAAGCAAGAAAAGACTTGGAAGATATTGGAATCCGAAGGCATCTGCACCCAGAGGTACGGGGAAAGAAAACATATTTGCCACCAGCAGCTTATTGGATGTCCAAGGAAGAGAAAAAGGTATTTTGCCAGAGGCTGTCAAATTTCAGAGGCCCTGATGGCTATTGTGGGAATATTGCTAATTGTGTTTCAGTCAACCCTCCTGTGATTGGGAGTTTGAAGTCCCATGATCATCATGTACTCATTCATAACTTGTTACCTGTTGCGTTGAGAGGGTTGCTGCCAAGCGGCCCTAGGACTGCGGTAACTCGAGTCTGCAACTACTTCAACAGATTGTGTCAACGTACCATTGACCCAGAGAAGCTAATTTCTTTAGAGTCTGAGATTGTAGAGACAATGTGCCAACTGGAGCGGTACTTTCCTCCTTCACTGTTTGATATCATGTTCCACCTCCCTATACATCTAGCAAGAGAGGCACGGTTGGGAGGTCCGGTGCACTTTCGATGGATGTATCCTTTCGAGAGGTTTGTTCTTATCTTATTTCTATCTTTACATGTTGTGTTTTGAGTCAAGTTATTTTCTGACATAAGTATAAATTATGAATTCTTGAATGAGTTGCAGGTACATGAAAACACTTAAGGCTTATGTAAAAAACTATGCAAGACCAGAAGCGTGTATGGCTGAAGGATACTTGGCCGGAGAATGCATTGCCTTCTGCTTAGAGTTCCTACAGAATTCTGTACCAGTGCAAGAAGCTGTAAACCGTAACGAAGATGTCGAGGCTGATGGAAGTGTTGTTGAAGGCAGACCATTGCATAAGGGTCGAGAAGTTGTCCTTTCCGAGAAAGAGAGAGACATAGCACACCGATATGTCTTGATGAACTTGGCAGCTGTGGATCCCTATGTGGAGTAAGTTGAACCATACTCTCTCATTTATAGCTTCTTTACCTATCATACAGATAAGATAACTGCTCTACTATGGAAAAACAGGATGCATTTGGAAGAATTGCAGTCTCAGGATGCTCGATGCGCTAGAAATGAAACTATTTTATGGAAATATCATACAGATCAGTTTGCCCAATGGATTAAAAAAAAGGTTTCTACATATATATTTCTAATTTTTCTTTACTTTAACACTCTTTTCATGTTTTAATTTCTTTCACTTTACATGAACTATTAGATTCCTTCTAATTCAAAAGATCACTCGACGAAGCTGCGGTGGTTGGCATTTGGACCTAGACTAACTGCTCAAACCCACAAAGGGTTTGTCATTAACGGGCATCGCTTTCACACTGATGACGTTAAGCGGAAGACACAGAATAGTGGAGTGACTTATGAAGCTTTTAGCATGTGTAGATCTACTACACGAGATACTAGACAAATGGCTGACATAGTTACTTACTATGGAGTGATCAAGGAAATTATACTTCTGGACTACCACATGTTCACAGTGCCATTATTCAAATGCAATTGGGCCAATAGAGGTTATGGTGTAAAGGAAGAGGATGGTTTCACCCTTGTGAACCTTCATATGAATCAATCGTCATATCTGCAAGATCCATATATTCTCCCATCACAAGCAAAACAAGTTTTTTACTCCAGAGAGAATGACACATCACCATGGTATGTTGTTATGAGGGCTCCTCCTAGGGGCTACCACGAGTTGGAGACAGAGGAAGAGTTTGTTGGTGCACCTTTATCAGTCCAGCCAGTTGATGATTTAGAGATTCAATCTTCTGATGATGAGAGTTTCTATGTTAGGGAGGATTGTGAAGGGATCACAGTGGCAGAGTAATAGATTGAATTGCAGTGATGTTTTTAATTTTACTTTCATGTTTGGTTTTGCAGGATCTTAAGTGATGAAGACAAGAGGAGGATTAGTCCGTCGAAGTAAACGTCAACAAGGCTTGGATGCTGTAACAGTCAGGAAGCCGCCAAAAGCCACCAGAACAAAGAAAAAAAGAATAGCAGAACTGATGACTGATGTTGTTAATCTTGAGGAAGCTGAAGAAGCTGTTGGTGGTCCTGTTCAAGAAGTTCAGAAATCTGGTGATGTAGCTTCTGAGGAAGCTGTTGGTGGTCCTGTTCAAAAAGTTCAGAAATCTGATGTAGCTGCTGAGGAAGCTGCTGAGGAAGCTGCTGAGGAAGCTGATGAGGAAGCTGATGAGGAAGCTGATGGTGATCCTGATCAAACTGTTTCTGAGAAAGAAGTCCCTAACACTAGTCAACAACCTGCTGAGCAAGTAGATGTTGAAGATGATGATGAGACTGTTGAACCTATGGCAGATGAAACTGAAAATAGGAATCAAGATTCTCAACCTATTGCATCTGAACCTAATGCTAGGGAAGATGACTCTCAGCATACTGATGCTGGAACTGAGATGCGTAGCAATTCAGGATTAGGAACACCGCAGTCAGCTCCCACTATAAAGAAGAGAAGAGGGCCGACCAAGATGCGTAAAGTGGCCAAGGATCCTCAGGACAGGGTTGAAGTGTCATTCACTGAGCTTGGTGAACATGTAGGTCCTGGTTCAGTGACACTATCATCATTTCTTGGTGCTATTGTGCGTGAACATGTTCCGGTAACACTTGATGATTGGAGAAAACTGGATAGTCAGACAAAGGATACACTTTGGGAGGAAATACAGGTTTATGAACATTAGTGTATAATAGTATTTACAATTTCTGATATTCTTATTAAGTTATCAAGTCTAATTTATGTTTATTTTGCTACAGGGGAGGTTTATTGTGCAAGAAGAGTGGCAAAAAGATTCTGTTTTCAAGCAGATGGGTTGTATATGGAGGTCTTCAAAGTCTAAGCTCCTAGGTCTAGTTAAAGATGCAAAGAGTAGCACAGAGAGAATAAAATTAAAACCAAGCAATATCCCATCTATTCCAGTTTGGAACTCTTGGATTAAGAGTAGGACTAGCACAGCTTTTAAGGTTACACTTGTTACTATTTTCTTTGTTATTCATGTGATTTGTCTTGGAGAAAAATAACCAAACCTACTTGATTGATATTGCAGGAAAAAAGTAACAAGTTCAGGGCATTGAGGAGGGCTCAGATTCCCCACACTACCAGCCGCAAGGGAATGTTTCGCCTAGCTCATGAAATGGTAAGACTCTTTTCTGTAATGAATATCAGATAGTATAATAAAAGGTAACAAAATGCTAGCTGATAAGTAATCACTTTGTCTTATTTGTAGAAAAAAAAAAGTGATGACCCTAAAAAGATCACTAGGAGTAAGGTTTGGATAGCAGGACACACTCACGCTGATGGTAGACCCGTGAAGCCTGAGTTTGCTGACACTATTGTAAGCAATCTTTCTCATCTTAATGTCTCTGTCACTGAACATTAAGGCAATCTACATGACCCAAATTGTGCTCAATTATTTGTATCAGGAACAAATACAATCACTTGATAGTCAAATGGACTCCACATCAGGTGATAACATAAAAGAAGACGCTGTCAGTAAAGTGTTGGGAAAAGACAAACCTGGACGTGTCAGAGGGATGGGCAGAGGGATAACTGCTACCAAGCTAGCTTTCATTCAGGCTAGAGACTCTAGACTTGAAGAGTTGCATAACGAGGTTGAGGACTTGAAGAATCAGATCCGTGACTTGGCTGGAAAGAGTGTAAGTTTTTCTCTCCTTATTATGATGAATTAGCTGAATATACTTAAGTATATCTTCAACAATTCTTTTTCTTATTTGTTAGAAAAACTCTGGTGCTGGGACTTCTCAATCTGAGGTTAGTGATGTAGGCAAAGGAGTTAGGTGTCAGATACTGGATTGGTATGCGACGAAAGATATTGTTGTTGGTGAGGGAGAATTTTGCTCTGCTGAACCTCAGTATCGGATTGGCCGAATTCCACTGGGTGAACACGGCGCAGCGGTCATCGTCACTTCTGTATCAGTTCCAGATGCATCTCTTTGGAGGCCAACGGCAGATGTGTTCTTACTTCAACAAGCTTTAGGAGTCAAGATTGCATGGCCAGTCGATAAAGTTATAGTGGATAATGGATTGGACAGCCAGAATGACTCAGAAAATACAGGTGGATTCAAGGTAATATATAACCCACTTGGAATATATTTTAACTTGTTCCATCAAACGCTTACTAATGTATACTACTATACTATAGGATACTGGTACAGATGATGACCAACTTGGTAGATGCAAAGTTTTTGATTGGAAAATGGATGAAGTTATTGCTGAGGGTGTTATCTGTTCTACTGACAAAGATGAGCTGATAGATAACATACCTTTAGGTCTGAATGCTGTTATTCTGAAAGTTGATCTGGTCATTAGACCTGAAGCTTGTTTGTGGAGACCAAGTCCCGAAATGTTTGTGATGGGTGATGCATTTAAAACGAAGATAGCATGGCCAGTCCATAGGTTAGAATTAATGGATGCACCTGCACATGCACAACATGTAGGCAGAAGATCATCTACTCCGGTAAATTTTGAACATTCTCTTTTTTTGCTAAAGTGTGAAATTGATGTGTTACAATATTGATGTTGATGTGATGTAGTTAAATAATTCTGTTGTTTTTGGGTGCTAGAGTGCAAGTAACACAATCAGGACAGACAAAGGAGCACAGGAATTAGGCAGAAGATCATCTACTCCGGTAACTTATGAGCATTCTCTTTTTTTTTGTGTGGAAAAAAAATAATGTGTACAGTCTCGATGTTGTTGTGATGAATGTAATTGATAATTGTGGTTTTTTGGGTGCTAGAGTGTGAGTACCACCAGCACAGGGAAAGGAGTAAAGAAGAAGTGCATCCTGTTAGACTGCAATAACTCTGGCCGCAAAGTTGCAGAAGGCAGAGTGTGCTCCACTGACCCAGCTGTTCTTATCCATCACGTCCCATTAGGTCAGAATGCTAGCAAAGTGTGGGTAGAAGTTTCTAAGATTGATGATGCACGTGTGTGGAGACCCAATTCAGAAATTGAATACATTTCTGATGCAATAGGCACTACAGTTGCTTGGCCAAATGATAAACTCTTGTTCATCTAAGCCTTCTAAGTATAATCTCGATTTCAACTTTTTGTACTCGTAGTCAACAAACTAAGTACTTATTTAGTATGTGTGTTTTGGATGAATTTATGTTTTATTTTATTTTATCAGTTATATTTTCTCCTCTCAAATATAAAATTGCAAAAGTACACATATATCAAAAAAAACAAATATACGTAAAATTATATGTACAAACATTTTATTTAAAGAAAAAAACTCAGCACATTAAAAATAGAAAACGTCTACTTTTTCATAATTATCCACATATATACATATTCATTTGTTTTATACATAAATCATATAATATTATTTGACGAATAATTAATTTGTAAAATTATGCATAATCATATCTGAATATCAAATATTATAGTTTATTTATATTTTTATTGTTAATTTAATAATTTGATCAAAATCCAATTTTTATCACTCTATACCCTAAACCCTATACCCTATACCCTTTAGGGTATAAGGTTTAGGGTATAGAGAGTTCAATCTTAAAAGTAAGTTTACTATTAATCTATTAACAAAAAATATTCAAATATATATTTCAATTCTTAATTTGATAAATATAGAAAGATGTTTCAATATTCAATTCTCTATACCCTAAACTCCATACCCTAAACCCTTTAGGGTATAGAGTTTAGGGTGTAGAGAGATCAAATTTGAAAAACTTAGTTTACTATTAAATCTATAACAATATATACTTCAAAAAATTATTCAATAATACTAAGTATATTAAATTAAAAAATTCATAACATATTACAAATCAAAATCAAAATTACTATTTTTTTTCCTTTTAAAAAACGTTTAAATGAGATAATAAAAATAAATAAGAACATAGCCAATAGGAAGAGATTATTCGGATAGCTGACGTGGCGTAATATCGGACCGTTGGATCAGAACTTCTGTTTCTCGATCAAGGGAATTAATTTTGTTCTTTTTTAATTTGCCTCAGCAATAATAAATACTCCTCGCGCGACGTTCCGTCTAGCTTCTCTTTCATTGGAAACAAAACTCAACTCAAGAAACTCTGCAACTCCACGACGGAAACGAATCCAGATCGACGACGACAATGACGAAGCCAGTCGACGACGATGAATCGTCAAACTCCTGACGATAAAGCCAATCGTGCCGAGTCGATTGTTTTATAATTTTCTTTTCTGTCGATTGTTTTCTAGATTCAACAATTTCTTTCTGATTGTTTTAACTAATTCATATGATTAACAGGTGAAGTTTATGGAGATGGAGAAGTAATCGTCAAATTCCCTTTTCTATTTGTAAGCTACTTAAGTATGTTTATTAAAATTTGTATTACTTTTTTAGTTCAGGAAAAATTAACAGAAACTTAGACGAAGACGATGTTCATGTTCCTGTTCTTAATTGCAGAAGATTCGAGGAAGAAGTTGCAGAAGATTCGAGGAAAAAGTTGCAGAAGACGATGAAGGAGGAAGCGAAGAAGACGAAGCAGCATTTTTTTTTTTTTTTTTTTTGTTTTTTTCTGTAAAACAAATAATTAGAATTTTTATTTGGGCTTAGTGGGCTCTCTACAAACCACAACAAAATCCAAAACCCAAATTGTTATTTTTAAAATTTTATGCCCATATGAATTTATCATTTAATAAATTATTTTAGATTAATTTTTTTTATTTACCAAAATATTATAATATAATATATATATATATATATATATATATATATATATATATAAAATAGATCTCAAATTATTAAAAATTTACAACAAAGATTATCTAAACAAAAAAACCACAGATTTTTGTAAATAATCAAAATTCAAATTAGACAATCGATAACATATTTTAAAACGCAATAGATATTATGATGATTAACTGCTATAATAAAAACTGCTATTAAATAAAATCTTTAGCAACAAAAGTAAACTGCTATTAATATATTAATTGGAAATAACTACCAAATGCTATATTAAAGGGTGCTATAAATTAACTATTTAATAACAGAAATGAATTGCTATTGAAAACTCTACAATTGCATATAAAACAACGCTATCATTAAAATATTAATAATAGCAATACGATAAAGCGCTATCGAAAGTGGCAGACCTATTATCGCGGGCGATGATATAGCGTTTTGTTTAACGCTGTTATTTTTTACCATAGCGGTTTTGTGACGTTATTAATACCCGATTTTCCTGTAGTGATTCTTGATGATGTGGAGAGTCTAGATCAACTAGAGGCGTTGGCTAATATCATGTGGTTTGGTCCAGGAAGTAGGGTCATAGTGACCACTGAAAACAAAGAGATTTTGCAGCAACATGGTATCAGTGATATATACCATGTGGGTTTTCCATCAAGTAGAGAAGCTTTAATGATCTTTTGTCTATCTGCTTTTCGACAAATCTCTCCACCTGGTGGGTTTATGGATCTTGCGGTCGAAGTTGCAAAGCTTTGTGGTAATCTTCCATTGGCTCTACATGTTTTGGGGTCATCATTGCGGGGAAAGAACTATTCTGACTGGATAGAAGAGCTACCAAGATTACAAACTTGTCTTGATGGAAGAATTGAGAGTGTATTGAAAGTGAGCTATGAAAGTTTACATGAGAAAGACCAAGCACTATTTCTCTACATTGCGGTCTTCTTCAACTATGAACATGCTGATCATGTGACATCCATGCTGGCAAAAACTAAGTTGAATGTTACACTTGGGTTAAAAAACTTAGCCAATAGACATCTCATACACAAAGGTCATGGCGCTAAAGGTGAAGTGGTAATGCACCGTTTGCTACAAGTAATGGCTAGACAAGTCATTTCCAAACAAGAGCCTTGGAAACGCCAGATTCTTGTAGATACCCAAGAGATTTCCTATGTTTTGGAAAATGCAGAAGTAAGCTTTCTGTTTGAAGGGATTTGCATTTTTCACTGCAATTTAAGCAGATCATCTTGCCACTAACAAGTTTTCCTTTGGCATTGTTTTTGTTAGGGTAATGGATCAATTGTGGGTATATCCTTTGACGTAGGAGAGATCAACAAATTAACATTAAGTGCTAGGGCGTTTGAAAGAATGCACAATCTTTACTTCCTAAAAGTTTACGATCGGTGGCTTACTGGAAAAAGACAACTGCACATTCCAGAGGAGATGGATTTTCTTCCTCGCCTAAGGTTACTACGTTGGGATGCATACCCGAGAAAGAGTCTTCCTTCTAGATTTTGCCCAGAAAATCTAGTCGAACTCGACATGGCCAATAGCAAACTCGAGAAGTTATGGGAAGGAACTCAGGTGAGTTAGTTATGTGTGTTGATATGAAAAGAGAGAGCTTATATTTGATATTCACATTGAAATATATAAAATAAGATGAAAAAGTTCTCATTATGTTCTGACTTTTACATTCAGCCGCTTCTAAATCTCAAGAAGATGAACTTCAGTGGGTCATCTTGTTTGAAGAAACTTCCAGATCTTTCAAATGCTTCAAATCTTGAGAGATTGGATCTGTATGAATGCATTGCTTTGGTAGAGCTTCCATCCTCAATTTCTAATCTTCGTAAACTAAACTACTTAGAGACGAATCGTTGCAGAAGTCTACAAGTCATTCCAACTCTCATTAACTTGGCATTTCTTAAAGAGATCAAGATGATGGGATGCTCACGATTGAGAAGTTTTCCAGATATTCCTACCAACATCATTAAACTCACTGTGATCGATACTAAGATTGCAGAACTTCCTTCATCCCTTAGGCATTTCTCGCTTCTTGGGTCTTTCGATATAAGTGGCAATGTAAATCTCAAGACCTTTTCAACACATCTTCCCACGAGTGTAACAGAGCTACACCTATACAATAGTGGTATTGAGAGTATTACAGATTGCATCGAAGGTCTTCATAATCTACGTGTCCTTGCTCTATCAAACTGTAAAAAACTCACGTCATTGCCGAAGCTTCCTGGTTCACTCAAATGGCTACGGGCAAACCATTGTGAATCACTGGAGAGAGTAAGTGAACCTTTAAACACACCAAATGCAGACCTTGATTTCAGCAACTGCTTCAAATTGTGTCGACAAGCACGACGAGCGATTTTTCAACAATGGTTTGTTGATGGGCGGGCACTCTTACCAGGAAGAAAAGTACCTGCACTGTTCGATCATCGAGCCAGAGGAAATTCATTGACAATTCCTCATTCTGCTTCCTATAAGGTTTGCGTTGTGATTTCTACAGAGTTCGATCATCAAGCCAAAGATTCTACTATAGTTTCAATACTATTGTGTCGTTGCAGAGTCATCGGCAACTTAGTAAACTCCACTGACATTAAGTTTGTCCTATTCGATATCTGCAAATATAGAATGGAACATCTGTTTATATTTCATATAACGAATCCGATGCCATTTTTTTACCCCTCTAGCAGAGGGATAGTGCTCGAATTCAGCAGTCATTTCCAAGATTTCGACATTATTGAATGTGGTGTCCAGATCTTGACGGATGAAACAGACGGAAACAACAATGGGGGATCTGGAGATGAAGATGATCTCTGGTATATACATGAATTCAGCAAATCATTGGACAAAGAAGAAAAATATAATGATAGTGTCGCTAAGTCTGAATCCTGCGGAGTGTCAGACAAAGAAGATGATGAAGAGGGAAACAAAACTGAATCTGGAGAAGCGTCAAAAGATAAAGATGAGGATATCGCCGACGACAGTGACTCCGAATCTATATCCAAGAAGCATCCGAGGAAGAGGACGATGATAAGTGCTACTACTAATCTGAAGAAATGGATTCTCTGTCTTTTTCTATTTTTCTTGTTTTCGTTTGCTTTTGTTAAAGTCTCTATCTACTTTGATCTTTTATAACATATGCCGGTAATTCCTTGCTAGAAAATGTTAGTAAGTATCTCAGTAAAAGTTCCCTCTCACTTCATATGGAGATGAACAAAACTTGTATTGTTATTTTTGTGATAGGGTATTTTGTATATATGACAAATTATGTAAAAAAACTTTCTTCATTGTTACATAGTGGGAAGAAGGAGAAGACGCTATTTGTGTACGTTGTCGTCTTGTTCAATTATGTGAAAGCTGTGTTCACTCAGGGCCGGCGTTGAGGGGGTTCTTGAGGAGCAAATGTACCAGGGCAAATTTTTTTTAGGTAAATTTAAGGGCCCAAATTTTTTTTTAAAAAAAAAAATTATAATCTTTAAGATTTTAAGATAATTTTAGTATGAAAAAAGCCCAAATATATATTTTTAGTATGAAAAGACCAATTTTAAAGATTTTTTTAACATGAAAAAGGCCAAATTTTTTTTTCTATGAAAAAACGGCCAATTTTTAAGATTTGTACCGAGACTCTAAATTAATTGAGCCGGCCCTGTGTTCACTGACGGAAATTTGGATGGCTAAAAAAGCGATGTGAAGATCATAGTCATTATACCTCTCATAAAGATTTTTGATTCATTAAAAATCTCATGTTAATTAGGATATTCGTATTGAACAACATACCGTACATCTCATGTTAATTAGGATATTCGTATTGAACAACATACCGTACATAAAAGTTATTAATGAAATAGTGCTGATGAATGTATCCATGTATAAATATCATATTATTATGATGAGAGACTTTGAACATATATATCTATGTAATCGAGTTTGAATAAATCTCCGCACAACAATTTCGAGATCCTATACTTGTTGTATATAAGAAGTCCTCTCTAGGGTAACTTGTGTTTTTTACCCCTGTTTTTCCTCTGTTTTCTTCCTGTGGTCGTCTGATTTTTCCCTTCAGTAGTATTCAGCTCTTGATATATCCTGAGAAGCGAGACGAAAGAGCAAAGAATTGATATTGATTAGTCTCAAGATAACATCAAAAAGAGAGAGGGAATTTTTTTGGTGCATTCAAATTTTTACTTTAATATGCCCAGCGGGGACTCGAGAGCATGGTCATCGACTAGCCATAGATTAAAGTCTTGAAAGCGTTTCATTTTCCGTTCGTAACCGATAATGTAGTTATTATGAACTATGACATGTTTCCCCTTTGTCTCATTAACCCATGTCTCATTCTTGAAGTACAATCCTCCTGATGGGAAAGCTGATTGCGGAAGCAAGTAGACATCTACCTGCTTAATAGAATATCACAAAAGAGTTGAGAATTCAAATAAGTGAAAATAACCTTTGAGATTGAAACTAAAGTCGTAATCAAACGTTTTGATGTAGATTAGTTGAGTTATGAGTAGAAAAGGTTAGTATCTCAAAGTACCAAAAATGTTTAGTCTAACATTCCATCGAGATGATGGCTTTTATATCGGCCTATATATCTTGAACTGAATCATATTTTAAAACCAACAATAATTTTTACATAGACCAGTCGAGTTGAGTTTACAAACCAAATTTTGAAAATAACCTTGTGAGTGAAACGAAAGTCGAAATCGAACATTCATAAGTAAACAAGAGGAGGTATGAGTAGCTAAAGTTAGAATATCAAAGTACCAAAAAAATTTCGTCTAACTTCCAATGTATGATGCTAATACTTTCCATAAAGAAGATGACTTTTGTTGGTTGATCTTGAGCCGAATCACATTTTAAAACCAACAATACACCTAACTTAATCCAGCACATTTGAATAAACTAGATTTCGATACCATGTTAAATTTCATTGACTTCTAATTCAAGACTAATTGGTAATGAATAAATAGGTTCAAGTATCTTATTTATTATTTTGGGTCCTTTCTAATTTTTGATGTGGAAACAGGACACACTCTATTGGGGATCTTAAGTATTATATCATTTTACCCTAGTATTAGGTAAAACAAAGCTTGTGAAAATCTTAGAGAAAGCAGATGTAGAATTTGGAAGAAGCAACAATACATACTTGATTAGCTGTTTTGTGAAGTGCCCGATTAAAAGCAGGCTGATCATGTGGTTTCTTTGCTTGGGTGTTATTCCAAGGTTGAGCTTGAATTTCCTCAACCCATGTCTTCATTAGAAGCTTTGCGCCATCCGTGGAACGCAAGAAAATCATGCAGCTACATACATAAGTCACTCCACCTCGACTCCGAGGTGGTAGACCATGAGAGTGATTCAAAGGCTTAATCTGGCAGCACCAAAATCAAACAAAGAATAAAGATACATAAACACTCTAATAAAAATGCAAAAGATGCAGATATGTTACGTACCGCAATCATGTCATCCATGAAGTATGCGTCGTGGCTTCCTTGTAAATACTGAAACGGATCTTGTAGCCAGACCATATCAACATCATTGTACATAACATTGTAACCTAGCTCCAAAATGTTCAAGAGATGTTGTGGTCTCCGAGATGTCAGATTGAAGAAACCCTATCGAATATAATAAATTATTAAAAATATCTGATTATTCGCATTCTAGTATAGATATTCTTTGCATAGATTATCACATTGGTGTCAAATATAATAGTTCTGAAAAGTCATCGACTCTTCAGAGAAAAATAAAGAGAGATTAGAAGAATGGGACCTAGTACAATCCATTACATACGTGTTATCTGTACACTTCAACCATATTATTTTATTCCACCTCTTAGAAAGAAAAATACTAGCATGACAATACATTTATATCAAACTTCTTCCCCAATAATAATTTGATTTATTGGTTGCATCATTGTAGTAAAAGTCATAACTACTGCAAGACATAAAGGAGAGTTTCTAAGCGGCTATACCGTAAAACAGAGGAGGCAAAATCATTTCAAAAACTTATGATCCAAGTAATCTGTTAAATAACACTAGCTAATAAAACAATATCCAAGATCTATGCAAAGTAGAAAAATAAGTATTCTAAAAAAAAACAACAAAATTTTGGTAAACATGTTAAGATTTACACCAATTTTTGAATTTTTACAGAACACCGAGACGCAACAAAGAAGATAGAAAACCAAAATCTACAAACAAACAACAATACCAAAGACAAATACATAATAACCCGAGTTTCGAATATAGATTTTATGAACTTAAAAGTTAAAGATATTATTATATCAAGCTAGGGACGGACGTTGGATAAGAAAAGGTGAAAACTCTCTCTGTACCTGGGAACCAAATTTGTGTGCGGCTTGAGGATCCAACGCTGGAGGAATGAGGACGGCATGACCAGGCCACTTTTCGTTGACTTTGTACAAAGTAGCGTAATCTTCAGCGATTACAAGAACTTTTTCTTCATGGTTCTGTCTAGAAATGCTAATCAACCAGTTGTTGAGAAAAGGCAAAAAAGGGTAGCTAACGGCACATACAATCACAGTCTCGTTCTTAGCCACAAACTTAACGGCTTGAGCAAGGGAATAGTCGCTCCAGTCGGAGACCGATAAAGAAGGAGAAGGAGAAAGAGAAGAAGATGTTGTGTCTGGAGACAGGAATAAGGAAGATCCTGTTAAAGGTAGGAACACACCTAGGATAACGAAGAGACCTAGAAGGAGAAGGAGGAGGAGACCGTTGCGGTTGAGGAGAGAGATGGAACGGTTTGAGATTGGTCGTTGGTTCTGTTGCGCCATGGAAACAAAATTGGAATGAAAAGTTTTCACAAGTTGTGATCGGATTCGAAAATTGGAAAATATGAGGAAAAGAACAAAACACAAAAAGTCAACGACACCTTCTGGAATGACAACGTGTAGAGATACACAACCTACGTTATTATTTTTTTAAAAAAATATAACAACGTGAAGAGGTAACCTACATTATTATATATGTGCTTGGTCATAATTATTTATCATGTTTCATGTCGTGTGTGTGTTCATATAGATGTGTAGATGGAATCGTAAAACGTTACGATTGGGCAATGGTGTTTGTATCAAATAAAAGGTATCAACCAACGTTGTGTTGGCCCCGTAGTAAATTTTTCAGGTGGAGGTACTGGTTTCGACGCTTGTTGGGAGGGATATCTTCTCCAAAGAAGATGAATTTAATTTGGTGTGGATCCCCTGCCTCTGGGAGATGTAAGACCTTAGGACTTAAACTTCGAGATATTCAAAAAAAAAAAAAAATCTATATATAATAGCAATCTAATAAATATCATTTGCACATGTGAACGGTTGCGTCTTTTTATCGCAACTTTCTGTTAAAATATTAACGGTTATTTTTTCGGTTGTGTTTTTTATTGCAACTCTTCGTTATAATATTAACTGTTACTTTTTTGTTGACGGTTGTTTTTCGGTTGTGTCTTTTTATTGCAACTTTCCGTTAAAATATTAGCAGTTACTTTTTTTTGTTTGTGTCTTTTTATCGCAACTTTCCGTTAAAATACCGACGGTTATTTTTTCTCGGTTGTGTCTTTTTATTGCAACTTTTCGTTAAAATATTGACGATTATTTTTTCTCGGTTGTATATTTTTATCGAAACTCTTCGTTAAAATATTAACGGCTAATTTTTTCGTTGACGGTTATTTTTTCGGTTGTGTATTTTTTATCGCAACTTTCCGTTAAAATATTTACGGTTATTTTTTTCAGTAATATCTTTTTTTTATCGCAACTCTTCGTTAAAATATTTACGGTTACTTTTTCGTTGACGGTTATTTTTTGGTTGTGTCTTTTTATCGTAATTTTCCGTTAAAATATTGACGGTTACTTTTTTCGGTTGTGTCTTTTTATCGAAACATTCCGTTAAAATACCGAAGGTTATTTTTTCTCGGTTGTGTCTTTTTATTGCAACTTTTCGTTAAAATATTGACGATTATTTTTTCTCGGTTGTATATTTTTATCGCAACTCTTCGTTAAAATATTGACGGCTAATTTTTTCGTTGACGGTTATTTTTTCGGTTGTGTATTTTTTATCGCAACTTTCCGTTAAAATATTTACGGTTATTTTTTTCGGTAATGTCTTTTTTTTATCGCAAATCTTCGTTAAAATATTTACGGTTACTTTTTCGTTGACGGTTATTTTTCGGTTGTGTCTTTTTATCGTTACTTTCCGTTAAAATATTGAAGGTTACTTTTTTTCGGTTGTGTCTTTTTATCGCAACATTCCGTTAAAATACCGACGGTTATTTTTTCTCGGTTGTGTCTTTTTATTGCAACTTTTCATTAAAATATTGACGATTATTTTTTCTCGGTTGTATATTTTTATCGCAACTCTTCGTTAAAATATTGACGGCTAATTTTTTTGACGGTTATTTTTTTGGTTGTGTATTTTTTATCGCAACTTTCCGTGAAAATATTTACGGTTATTTTTTTCGGTAATGTCATTTTTTTTATCGCAACTCTTCGTTAAAATATTTACGGTTACTTTTTCGTTGACGGTTATTTTTCGGTTGTGTCTTTTTTATCGTAACTTTCCGTTAAAATATTGACGGTTACTTTTTTTCGGTTGTGTCTTTTTCTCGCAACATTCCGTTAAAATACCAACGGTTATTTTTTCTCGGTTGTGTCTTTTTATCGCAACCTTTCCGTTAAAATATTGACGGTTATTTTTTCTAAGTTGTGTCTTTTTATCGCATATTTTCGTTAAAATATTGACAGTTATTTTTTCAGGACAGTTCTATTTGTTCAATTATAGTCATATTTTTTTTTACTTTACGGTTGTGTCTTTATAGTTGCATCTATTTATTTAAAGTTACGTCTCTTTACTATATTTCATTGCAGTTTTTGTCACAACTTTTTGTATGAAAAGTTGTCTATTTAAATGTTCGTGAATTTTGAATTCTATATATTTGTCCTTCTTCCTAAGTAGTTCTCAAATTTTTGTTCTTTAACATAGATTATTAGTTTCATAATACATCCAAAAATAATAATATGTAAAATTGCTCCAAATTTTGTATGCTCTAAACTATTTCTAAACATACATCATTTTAATATTAAAAGCACCAATTCACGGGTGAAGTTTCTTAGTTACCCACAAGTCGTGCTGAGTAGCGACTCCATCCGAATTTTTGGTTTGGACCCGCTAGAATTTCTCATCTCTATATTATAACTCTTCTTTATGTATTTTGTCACTTATAAATAATTTTAGATTCATAAAAAATATTTTAAAAGTGTTTTTAATCATAATTCTTCTTTTTTTATATTTTTTATTCATAAATAGTTTTAACATCTTTGAAAAATATTTACGATATAAATTTAAAACATAGTTAATTTTATGTAATAATTCAAATTTTTTTTAATATATTATCATAATAATTTAATATATGAATACACTCAAATATATTTTTTGAAAATGAGTTCCCCCGCGATATCGCGGGGGTTCATAACCTAGTAATAATAATAAATGAAAGGTATCATAACTCTATTATTCGTGAGTAAAGATTGGTTATATACCCGTTTTATTTATCTAAAAGTAAAATTGTTTTAAGTAAAAATAATATTTGTACATTTCTTTAATCTAAAGTTTGAAATTATAACTGAGCTTTGGAATTGAAGTCCTCTCATGAGCTGAAAACTGACATGTAAAAAAAAAAACAATGGTTACTCGTTTCCATTGGTTCTCGAGAAAGTACTTATTAAGAAGATATTCCATGTTCCAAACAGCCGCACGATCACCCGTAGACAACCTGATAACACATTGCATAACAAAACCAAGATATGTAGCTCTAAACTGCTTTCATGTATTTGTTAAGAAATGAGGCTTATCAATGTCAATTTTTCGAAGCGACTTGTCTTGAACAACAACACTACGGGTTGATTTGTATGTTATCGATGGCATCTTCTATCTCGTTCTACAAAACTGTTTGACAAATACATTTTTATGGGAGGTGGAAATGTTGACTAATGCCTATTTTGCTCTCAAACAAAACTAAGGAAATCAAAGATACTAAAGGAGATAAATTTAGTTTCATAGAGCAAATGAAGTTGTTGAATATATGATTAAGTTGTTTTAGGTGGCTTGTAACTTTGAGTTAAGTAAGCCTAGTGGAAGTAGTTATGTAGTAGTTAGAGAGTTGTCTTACTTTCTACTATAAGTGTGTTTGTGTAATATTGTCATTGAGTAAGAAAAGAATATTCTAGTTTCATATCTCATCTTTCTGTCAAATGCGCTAAATCGTTTTTTCACATAGTGATTTCTATTAACAATCAAAACAGAGAGATGCAGAGAAAGTGGAACCAAACCGATGACTCCCTAGTTATATGATCAACATGGTATCAAAGCTCCACATGATTTGTGGAGCCGTTTTGAACAAGACAGAAGTTGCGAACCAAGAAGGTTCACTTATGACAAAGAGAAAGACCGATGTAAGGGATCTCAAGGCTATAGTTCAGGGAACCAAAATGAACAAGAGGGTGATAAAAAAAGACACTAAAAAGTGAAGAAGAGAAACATATAGGATAAGTTACGAAGGAGAAGGACACAAGTCGTATGGATTCTACAAGAAAGAAAACTACAATGAATAAGTGTGCTACCGGAAGAATGATAGAGATGAAAAGGAAGATAATCACATGTTCACTACAAGACGAGGAGACCAAGAATCAAGTGAAGAAAGTATATGGCTCATTGACCGTGGCTGTACAAACCACATGACACATAATGTGAAAATATTCACCAAAATCAACACAAACATCTAGGTTCCAATACGGGTTAGAAATGAAGTTGTGTTCATGACTAAAGGAAAAGGAAACATTCATGTTATGACCAAGAAGGGCAAGAAAACCATACGAGATGTTTTTTTGTTCCTAAGCTTGGTAAGAATCTCCAAAGTGTTCCACATATGATTACAAATGGGCATCAAGTCACCTTTAAAAAGAGGAGCTGCATCATACATGATCATGTTGGGTGAAAGATAGGTGAAGTACAATTGGTGAACACGAGCTTTCAAATGAAGAAACTGCAGTGGTAGCCAAACATGAAGTTGGAGAGTTATAACTTATAACACATAAAGGCTTGGACAAACATGATACTCAAACTGAAAATTATGCAGTCAAAGGAGATGGTTGTTGGCTTACCATGCAAAGTTAAAAGTGGATAAAGAAGCATGTGAGAGCTACATTCTATGCAAGCACATCCTTGACTCATTCCAAAAAGAATGAGAGACAAGGGCAAAAGAGGAGCCAGTGTTGACTAACAGTGATGTTTGTGGACCAATGCAAAACTCCTCCATTATTATGCTACAATAATTGTTAGAGTTTATTTCTTAAAAGCAAAGTCAGATGTCTTTCAAACCTTCAAAATATTCAAGAACTTTGTTGAAAATAAAACAACATATAAGATCATGAAGATCAGAATAGACAGAGGATTTCAATATTTTATCTCAAGAATTGACAAAGTTTCTTGAAGAAAGTGGTACTAAAAAGCAGTTTACTACTTTACTGTATCGTATTCTTTACAATAATTAAAATGGAGTCGACAAAAATCTTCCAACCCTACAAACAATAACCGAAACACATTATTCAATACAACGTTTAAAAGAATAAATTTAAATAATCCTCGAATGTGCATTTCAAGTCTTCTCCTTCAATCTGCTTGTTTCCCATTGCAACCAATCTGGCTTTATACTTTTCAATTGTACTGTCTGATTTAAATTTCACCTTGAAAATCCATTGGCATCTAATTTCATTTTTTTTTTTTTTTTGATAACTCGGATGATCCTAAAGATTTTC